TGCTCGATGGTGCGGTTGACCTTGCCGGCGATGCGGTGGAGGAAGCCCTGCGAGGAGGCGTCTCGTGTGAAGCTTTGCTCGCGGCTGCGCGCGCCCGGGAGATTTGGCAGAGGAACGGGGTGGGGCGGAGGCGGCGGCGCGAAAAGGGGGGGTCAGCGGCCGAGACGGCGTGGGGTCGGCGCGAGGATAGCACACGCCTCGAGCGACTCAAAGAGGCCACCGCAGTGGGCCAGCTCCCGAAGGAGAGTCTTGACCAGCTCGAGCGCGTTGTTCTTGACGAACGAATAGACCTTTTTGAGGAGGTTGTCGAGCAAGCCGCCGAGGTCGTCACCGAGCAAATCGGTAATCGAGCCCGTGATCTTCTTGAGCCCGACGTCCACCTTCTGGAGGACGGCGCGAATCGGTGCCCTGCCATTCAAGTCGTCGTCGTCGCCGCCGCCGCCGCCAAGGTGCTTGATGACGGGGATCTTCTCCTTGAGGCCGCGGTGCTTGATCTCGGCGATCCCGCCGCTCTTCTTCTCGAGGAGGTACGCCTTGGTTGGAGGCGCGACAGACGGCTGCATCATCGCGAAAGAGGCTGTATTGAGTGTCTCGGCCTTGACTTTTAGTTCCCCTTGGGTTGGCCTCATAGAGCTCTAACTACTCCAGGGAGTAGTTCCCCTTGGGTTGGTCCGCGAGTGATCCCGCCGCAATCTCGCGCCGCCTTCTGGGTGAGAACGGACGGACGGAGTTCTCTGGGTGAGCTCAGCTGTGAACTTCCCAGTTGTTTGCTCTTGCTTGCGCGTGGCCCTTGCGTGCACGCCCAAGCTCGAGCGGCATCACGCAGAGCGAGCTCTGCGCAGGTCCCGCGACCTTCTCGGGCAGGAGCCCACCTCTCCTTCCCTCCGTGCGCCCAACGATATGGGCAAATCCGCGCCGAAGCGCGCTTCCGACGCTGACCAAGACGAACGGCCCGCAGAGGCCAAAGATGGCTCTGGGCAGGAGCCCCCCCCCTCGGGGGCTGGCGGGGGCACCCCATGAAGACGAAGGAGAGGACGAAGGCGTAGCGCCTCCGGAGGAAGTCGGCTGCGCCTCGCGAGCCCTGCCTCGCCGCGAGAGAGGGCAGGGCTGCGAGGGTGGCGCGGAGGATACGCGCCGCCACCGCCGCCGGCATAGGGACACGCGTGTCTCGCGTGTCGCAGCGAGCCTGGCCTCGCGCCATGCCCCGGCGCGCCGCGGTCACGAGGTGGCCGAGGGCAGGCTTGTCGAAGCCGTAGTCGGCGTGGTACGAGTTGATGGCCGAGAGGTAGGGCTGGAGGCTGCTCGCAGCAATCGTCCCCTTCTCGGCCAGCGCGCCGACGTAGGCGAAGATCATCTGCGGGGTGGCGGGCAGCGGGTCGAGGCCCTCCTCGTCGCACCACCCCTCAAACTCGCGCCAATGTCGCGCGTAGCCCTCGGTGGTGGAGTCCTCCCGCGCCGACGCCGCGAGGCGCATGGCGGTGCTGCCGCCCCGCCATGCGCCGACTTCCGACGCCAGTCTGGCGAAGGGCGAGTGCCGCGCCGAGCGGAGGCTCATCGAGTAGCGCCGCTGACGCGGAAGATTGCCACCGGCCACGACGCCAGCCGCGGCGGGGCGTCCGCTGCCACGCGCTCGAGAGAGCCCGGTGGCAGCACCACGTGCTCCGAGCTGAGCTCGAGGAGCAGTGGGTACCACGCCGCGCTTGGCCAGTGCGGCGCGCAGACGTGCGCCGAGGCGCCCGTCTCCTCGAGCAGCTGCACCAGCTGCAGCAGCAAGCCGGGCGGCGGGTGGGCCCACACCTGCTCGCCTCGCCACTCCTGCGAGAAGGCGTCGACCGCCTCCGCGCCCGCGATCGCTCCCGCCGCCCAGTAGCGCGGCAGCAGTGCCGTGGCCGGCGAAGCGAAGGCGTCGACCGTGCACTCGCCCCAGGCCGCCTGCAGCGCCTCGAAGCGGGTCCGAGTCAGCGCGTAGTCGCCCGAGACTGCGAGGCGAGAGGCCCGGTCGGCGATCACATTCGCCGCGCTGCGGATGTAGAGGGCGCGCAAGTCGATGTCGTGGGCGTCCAGGACGTACCACAGCTTCCGCAGCTCGTGCATCAGCTGCGGCGACCGCGAGACCATCGACGTCAAGATCCAGACCACCGCCACGGGCGCGGCGAGCCTCTGAGGGGGAGCCGAAGGTTTGCTGCGGTGGTAGGTAGGTGGTGGTCAGGTGGGGTGGTTTGACTTTGCCGCAGAGGCCGTCCGCTGTGAACAGCAAAACGGGACTTTTCGTTTTATGTCGGGGGTTGTTTCTGGCGCGGCTGCCCCGCGGGAGCCTGCTCCTTTGCACGTTTCAAAGGCACACTGTTGAGACTGACCTGTGCCGAGTGTCGTGCGAGAATACGTTATAATTCTTTTCGCTCCCGTGGTGTACCTGTGTTAGTGCCAGTGCGCGCCAGTCCCGTGCCTAGTGTTGCATGGCCAGGCGTTGTAAAGTTCTTTTGTTTGAGTTTTCTTGTAAAATTCTGGCTTTAAATTCTTTTCGCTCTATAAAGCCTGGGGACCGTCAGCGGGCACCTCGTGCGCTCCTAGGGGCAATCCGAGCCCTGGCCCCGCACGCGGCCCTGCTGCCCTCCCGTCTGCCGAAATCGACCAGGCCCATCGCCGTGGGCCCACCGGCGACTGCGGCGGCCCTAGCACCGGCCGATTGTTTGAGCGATGGCCTGTGCTGCGGCCGTCTCGGACGTTCAAGCGGCGCCAGCCAGCGGCTCGGCCGCGCATCCTTCACACACGCCGCCACGACCGGGATGAGAGGGCCCGGTGTCGAGCCATGGTGTGAGCTGCATGTGCGCGGCGGCCGTGGCGACAGCAGGTCCACCAGACGGACCTCAAAGCTTGCCGTCGGCGTGCTGTCGTGGCGAGAGCGCGAGACAGCTGCAGAGGAGCCGAGTGCAGTGGCGAGCCAGAGGCTACCTGGGTCACCAAGTGGTGGTTCTTGCCCATTCTGAGCAGGGCTGTGCTTTGGTGGGGTTGTGCTTGAGCGTGTGTGAAGTGGGAGTGCGTGCCGGCGGTGTCTGTGGGTGAAACAGGCGTGTGTGAGGCCGTAAGAGCCGTGGTATGAGCCAGAGTGGGCTTCATCACCCAAAGTAAGGACGGTCTGGGACGGCTCAGGCGTGCTACTGATGGGCCTTGGCCAGGAGAGAGACAGAGAAGGCGAGGTGGTGAGCTGGGAAGCCGCTTTGTCTGCACCTGGACGTGTCGTGATGAACTGCCGAAAAGTACTATTTGCGGCTATTGCTCAAAACATTTGGAGAGAAGGCCTACATATTATGACTGCATCCATGCGTCTGGTGCATGAGGACTGTGGATCGGGACATTTCACGGTCGGTGGCGCCGACAATGACCTCCGTAAAGCCCTCACAATCGCTCGGCACGGGCCACCGGGAGTGCTCTCGAGCGCCTACACCGGAGCATCACGAGCCGGTGTGAGCTTGAAGACCCGAGATAAGTGCGGTCTGGGACAGCTCAGGCTTGCTACTGATGGGCCGGGGTCGGGGCACGAGAGCACTCTGGGTGGCGCGTGCCGAGCGATTGTGAGGGCTTTACGGAGGTCATTGTCGGCGCCACCGACCGTGAAATGTCCCGATCCACAGTCCTCATGCACCAGACGCATGGATGCAGTCATAATGTGTAGGCCTTCTCTCCAAAGGTTTTGAGCAATAGCCGCAAAAGGCGCTTCTTGGCACTTTTCATCGCGACCGTCCAGGTGCAACAAAGCGGGGGGGCCCCCGTTTTTCCCAGGCTTTCCCAAAGCCCCAAACCCCCTTTCCCGGCCCCTTTCTTCTGTCTCTCTCCTGGCCAAGGCCCATCAGTATCAAGCCTGAGCTGTCCCAAACCGCCCTTATTTTGGGTGATGAATCCCACTCTGGCTCATACCACGGCTCTTACGGCCTCACACACGCCTGTTTCACCCACAGACACCGCCGGCACGCACTCCCACTTCACACACGCTCAAGCACAACCCCACCAAAGCACAGCCCTGCTCAGAATGGGCAAGAACCACCACTTGGTGACCCAGGTAGCCTCTGGCTCGCCACTGCACTCGGCTCCTCTGCAGCTGTCTCGCGCTCTCGCCACGACAGCACGCCGACGGCAAGCTTTGAGGTCCGTCTGGTGGACCTGCTGTCGCCACGGCCGCCGCGCACATGCAGCTCACACCATGGCTCGACACCGGGCCCTCTCATCCCGGTTGTGGCGGCGTGTGTGAAGGATGCGCGGCCGAGCCGCTGGCTGGCGCCGCTTGAACGTCCGAGACGGACGCAGCACAGGCCACGCGTCGCGCCGCCGGCCAAGCCCAGCCTCTCGGCGGACCCCGGCCGTGCCAGAGGCAGCCCAGGTGGCGCGTGGGGCCGCGGCTCGGCGCTGGGAGCGCGCACGGGGCCCGAACCCGACCACCTGTAACGGCCACACCCTGTGAAGAGAGCTTGGATTGCCCCTCGACCCGCACGCGAAGTCCCACTTTGGCATGCTCGTGCTCGTCGCCATCTTCGTCTTTTTTGCTCATTCTTCTTGCGCGTCCCAGCGGCCCTAGTGCCACCAGCAAGCAGCCGGCTGCATGGGGCGAGAGGGTGCGTTTGAACGGCCTTTTCAGAGGTGTGAATAACAGCGCCCCAGGCTTTATATGTCGAGAGCCGACTCGGTGGCGCCGCCGGGCGCTGCCGCTGCCGGCGCCGCTCGAGACGACTTGCCGGCGGACCTCGCGGCGCTCGCGGCGTTCGTGTCGAAGCGGTCTCGCGCGGACCCGCCCGCCACCGAGGCAGAGCAAGCCTGCGTCAAGAGGGTTCGCGTGGGGCTTGCCGCTGAGATCGCCGCACTGCCGCCCTCAGCGGTTACGTCCGGCCCGGCAGTGCGCGCGTTGCGGCAACAGCTGCTGCTGCAGATGAGGCAGCGCGACGCGCCTCAGCCGCCGCCGCCGCCTCCGCCCACCCAGCAACTGCCGCCGCTGCAGCCGCCTCAGCTGAAGCCTCCACAGCCGGCGCCGCAGCCGCCGCAGCCGCAGCCGCAGCCGCAGCCGCCGCCACAGCCGCCGCCGCCGCCACAGCATCAGCCGCCGCCACAGCAGCAGCAACCGCCGCCACAGCAGGCGCCGCTGCCGCAAGCACCGCTGCCGCAAGCACCGGAGCCGCAAGCACCGCAGCCGCAAGCGCCGCTGCCGCAGGCGCCGCTGCCGCACGCTCTGCCGCTGCAATCACCGCCGGGTCTGGCACCGCCCTCGTGAGCTGACTCGCTGCATCGGCGCAAAAAAATAGTAGCAGAGCGAGTCCCAAGAAATAGCTTCTTATAACGTGTACTATAAGTTGTAGCATCTCTCGCGTCTCGCTCTCGGTGTGTGCCGCGGATCGTATCGCACACAATCACGGCGCTCGCTGGGCGCTAACCGGGTCGTGCGATCTCGCTCCCTTCAGCCGACGTCGACCGCGCGCGAGAGTGCTCTACTTCTCATCCTGCGGCAGCAGCTTGGCCTGCACGGTGCGGCCGAGGTACTTTCGCCCGCCAAGTGCCTTGCACACCCGGTCGGCGTCCGCCTTGTCCGCCTACAGGGTGAATACACCAACCTCAGGGCGGGAAGGCGGGGAAGGCGGTATTGTGCAGAGGAGAGCATCGTGTAAGGGGAGGGAGACGAATACAGCTGAATACGGTCGAATACAGTGAAGACGCGTCCTCGAGCGTTGGCCGGAATACAAGAACACGTATTCCGCTTTTAGGCTTGTCCGCCAGCTCGACGAAAAAGGCGCCGTCGGCGTACCGCACCTAGAGCGTGAGCAGGCCAGCCTCGCGCAAAGGAGAGAGGCTACTCCTGCGCAGTGAGGTGTGGCGGCGATGCAGTCGCATACGGCCGAATGAACGCGAGCTTGCTCGAAGCATCGCTGTGT